TCGGCCACATTTACAGCCTGCTGCATTTTGACTGTCAGCCTGTTTTCTGTGAGGAGATGAGGCAACAGACAAATAGTATGACTGTGTTTGAGAAGATAGTCATAGAAAAAGTAATTTTACAAACAGCAAAAACATAAATAAGAAAACTAACACTTTGAAACTACAAGTGAGCCTTAATAACAGCAGGTAAAATCAACAATGTAAAAAGGAAAGTGAAATAAACCCTGAATAACTGAGTGTGTGTGTTCACTATGACAGAGCCTGGGGCTGAAATGCTACAAAACATAATGTTCAGTCAAACATTCTGAAGACAGTTTTGTTTTCTGAAAGCCGCACTCACAATTCAGCTAAAAAAAATACATAAAACAAAATATTTTTTGCTCGCTGGTGATAAATGTGCAATCTCATTGTTGAGTGTTGAGATGTGGGAACCTAAAATTTTGACTTATGACAATGCAAAGAGTAAATCCACTAAACAACATGATTTTGCTTTGTAGATGTATTCCATCTAGATTTCCTGTGGGGAAATGTAACGTTTGATTTAATGTTGTTCAGTAAACAAAAGAAGGGTTCCCAAAGGATTACATTAAGACTCTCAATATCAGTATGTTTTGGATGTTTTTATGCCATTATCTTTTAATATATTACTATGGGCTAAATGGTTTAATGAATATATCTACAAGTAAACAGCTAATTACTCAAACTGACCAAAATCCATTTATTTACTTTGTTATTCCTTCTGTAATATTTGAAGTGTAGTTTAACAAAGAAGTGTTAGAATTTATGATAGAAACACCTGTTACAATGAAGGTAATATCATATTTTACATAGTTTGTACTACACAAACACACAGACACAGCTTACCTATAGAAGTCACTGTCACAGTGGTAGTTTGTGCCTGGTTGTGAGTCTTGCTGTTAGGTTTGCGCTCAGACACAGCACACTGGTACACTCCTGAATCAGACAGTGTGACCTCATCAAGCGCTAAGGTGAAGTTGTCAGTAGATGGACGCATCACCTTCACTTTGCGACTAACGAACTCCTCTGCTATCTCTGTAACACCCTCCTGACTTATGCTGATGATCTCAGTGAACGGGGCCGTTGGTGTTGGTTTGTGTTGCCAGGTGACAGAGAGCTGACCTTGAACCCCATCCACTTTACAGGAGAGATGCAGCCCGCCCCCTTCGGCCACATTTACAGCCTGCTGCATTTTGACTGTCAGCCTGTTTTCTGTGAGGAGATGAGGCAACAGACAAATAGTATGACTGTGTTTGAGAAGTTAATTATAAAATAATTCAATTTCACTAACAGTAAAAACAAATAAGAAAAATCACCTTGTGTAATCCTTAATAACTACAGATAAAATTAACAATGAAAAAGGGGAAAGAGTTAAACCTGGAATGTGTTCACTTTGACACACCTGTGGCTGAGACGCTGACCCTCTGTGGGCTGGAGTCTTTGGGTTCTCCCTCAATAAAAGTATCATCTTGGCCTCTCTCTTGAGGCCAGACTGTACAGATATACTCTCCCTGGTCCTCAGTTCTCACAGGCTTTAAGATGAGACGGTAATTTCTGTTCCCGGTTCGGGCGGCTCTGAGCTCTCCATTTTTCTGTCGAACACTGTACTCCGGTGCCACAGTGAGAACGCCTGTGGGACCAATGCGGGCCAGCTCCACACTTCCCTTGAGCCATGCTACAGAGAAGAATCTTTTCTCCACGTCCTGTGTGTTTATATTACAGGACAGCATCAGCTCCTGCCCCTCCTGCAGCGCTGCCGGCTGTGCTGAGATTTCCACTGCCAGAGACGGAGATGATGGCTCTACCACCTCTACTCAAGATAAAAAATGAAAACAGTGAGACATCCACACATTAAATCATGAAGGCAGTTGTCTAACATTAATGTGCTGATCAATACATGTAATTTAATATAGCATGGCTAAGCAAAATCAATGAAATGCTTCCAACCTGTGGCTTTAACTGTCAGGGTCATTTCTTCTGCATTCTTCTGTATGATGATGTACCAGGAGCCATCAGGATCTTGGATCCACTCCTGAGCCTGGCAGTAGATCCTACCTTGGTCTGATGGCTCAACCTCAGCCATCTTTAGGCTGTACGAGGCCTCTCCCCATTTATCTAAGCGTATGAGACCTGCTTGGTAACGCCTTTCAAACCCCTGGCCTGGGCTCAGTGTAAAATCTCTATTCAGAGAAATGATAGGCTGAGCGTCCTCCTGTCCGTCTTTATGGAGATACCAGGCAACAGACAGATGGGTGTGCTGGCTGGTGCTGCTAGAGGCCAGGCATGTTAAAGTCAGAGCTTCACCCTCGTTTAAGCTCAGTGGTGTGGAAGCAGATGATGAGACACTCAGGGAGTCTTCAATCACTATGAAACCACATCAGAGAAATCAAAAGTCATGAATGCTCTGACATCATCTGTACCATACCTACATGAAGACACATTCAAGCGTTATGACTGAAAATCAGGATGGCGATTGATTACCTTTAACGACTGTCTTAGCAGAATACTCTCCATCATAAGCACCTTCTAAGTTGACTGCAGTACATTCATATTCCCCTTCATCAGTTTTCTGCAGGCTTTTTATCTCGAAGCGGACTGAGTTTGGTGAGAGACGTTTCAAAGTAATTTCATTTTTTTTCACACGGGTTAGGTGAGAAGAATATCCAAAAGTATCTTCACGTGAACTGATGATTTGGATCTCAAAGTCTGGGTTTGAAGGCTTCGTCATACGGAATTCAAAATGTTTGTCAGTGTTTTCACTTCTGAAGCCACTCACACTGCAGGTGATGTAGAGGGGAGCGCCTAACACACGATACAGAGGCCCAGCTTGTGCTTCAGTTTTCACTCTGGCCTCTCCTGAGTAAAGCAGAGACAAAACGCAAATGAAGTCATCTGAATCCTGCAACTTTGAAGTGTCACTCATGTATTTACAAGTATTAAAGTATCTAACATATATGTTGCAGGCATGTTACAAATTAATGATAGAATGAATACACAATATTTTCAGAAAGATTTATATATTTTTTTATTTGTTAAGTTATTTTCTGCAAAAATATGTTTTTTATGACATTTCGGATAAAAAAAAGAAAAAATGTTTGCAAGTTTTGAAAAAAGATATATTCACCCTCCAGGTGATGGCCACAATCAGCCACATGACTGTGTTTTTTGTTAGTTCCTTTTTAAGGAAACTGTGGGTTCCTGTCACAAACTGTCTGAGGTAGTCTTACAAGTCTAGACGAAGATTACGAGGATAGGAGTGCTATTCAGACCGTGATAGAAATCGAATTAAATCAAATAATGTGTACAATCGTCTTCTTTTCATCCAAGTAAAAACTGCTTGTTTTCTTGAGTCACTTTATTTTCCTTCATGTAGGAAATATTTTTTCCCCAGAGAAAGCAAACATTTTGTCAAGATCTGCAGCCTGCAGATGATGTGAAACTGAATGAGGGCCCCAATGCAGGAGACACTGACAGGCAGGAACAAGTTAATATAAAGTGAGCTTTCTATTAACACTGATTGTAAAGGTATAAAATAAGAGAAACCAAAATTGAACAAATTAAACTGGGAAATACGAGGAAACATGGAATCTAAACGACAGGAGGGCAGCTGAGGGAACACTCAGACTACAGGGGGATAATATATAATAATATAGCCTATACACAAGGGGAATATTGAACACTTTAAATTCCACACTTTAAAAACAAAACACTGGGTCAAAATCCAGACCCATGAAACATTTATTGCTACCTATTTCATGATGCAAATGATGCATGAAAATAATTCGGAGCTAATTTGCTTTCGCAAACAACACAGACAATATTTTAGCTTTACCAAAGACGATGAGCTTAACATGCAAATGTACTGATGGTAATTCTATATTTTTATTCTATTCAAAATGGACATACAGTGTGTTCTTACCAACAGCTTACTTTAACACAGTTAATATTCTGACATCTCCAGTGAATCCTCGAGGTCACTGACTAGAATCCACTCCAGCTAAAGGAAGCCAGTGTACCACTTACCACAATGCAAAAGCTGACCCAGGCAGAGAATCAAACTGGACCTCCAAACCGAGAGCAGGAAACAACTCATCATGAACCTTCAGCTTCAGTCTCAGCACTTTACGTCCTCGGCATAGCCTCTGTCATCAAGTTCTTAGTCTGTGTGAAAATCTGCCTGTGTCTTTTCACACTTGTTAAAGTGGTTTATGTTTCCTGTCGGTGACCTAGAGCAAGAGGAAGTCTGAGATATTTCCTGCATACTGCACATTATTCATGACTTTTGTGTATGTGTGCAGGTGGATTGGTGGAGATCAGTAACATCGCTCGTTTTTTTTCCATCCTCGATCGAAACATTGGATGGTTACACGCGTGGTTAGACAACCTTAAGCCGAGCGGGCTCATAAGTGGGTCACCAACCCGTTCATTCTGTTCATTTCTATGTAGCGTTTTCAGAGGGAGAAACGTTTCGTCACTCACCCAAGCGACTTCTTCAGTCTCAACTTTTGCATAATGACTGAAACTTGGTGCTAGTTTCAGTCATTGTGCAGAGCTATACTGTTTACAAGGTTGGGGGGAAACCTGCAGTCAGCTGCGACTGAGATGAGACTTCCAGATGAACGGAATGAACTTTTTGGGAAAACATATGTAACTTTTCGATTATTCATCGACTTCCTTTAAAATATATTTTCATAGCATGGTCATATTGTTGCATAGGCGACTTGTGAGATAACGTGGTTGCGGTCAAGTTGCGTTGCGTAGAAACGATCCTGAGTTTGACCCAGTTTTTGCAAACAGTGATAATTTGAATGCGTCTGTTGGAACATTCCTGTAGATTAATGACGCAATATTGCCATCTGGTGGAGACCAGAAAGACGTATAGTTCTACACAGTCAAATCAGCGTTTCAACATTTAGACTGTTTAAACATGGTGGAAAACGTTTGATATAATAGAGACAAGCTAAGAAAGAGAAGGGGTAAACATTTTATCAAGTTCATACAAACAAGAAAATTTAATGATGTATGCAGAAGAAATACAGAAATACACATTTAAGAAGCCCATAAGTGATATTTCAATCCAGAATGACTATTGTGAATTCAAAAACAGTGGGGGGAAATGATGCCATGATGTGGCTTATTAACAACTAATAACGTATTTTGTTATAATCTACACTCATCCATCACTTTGTTAGGTACATTACTGTGCACAAGTTTTAAACACCCCTCATTTCTTTAACAACATCCCAAAGTGGCCAATATTAAGCTGATGGTTGTTGTGGTATATACTGGAAAATGACAGATAGGTGCAGCAAGGTATTCATGTGCAAAGATAAATGGTAATATGGTATTCAAGGTCATAAGTTCTGCCTTTTTCTCCATTCTGTATCAAGATGATCCCACACTGCTTTAGTAATGTACAGGTCTGGGCTTTGGGGAGGCCAGTCCATGACTTTTACTGCATTGACAGTGAGCTTTTTGTTCATAATTCCATCAATTTTAACAATTTTAGATTCCCAACACCTCTGGCTGAAATTCAGCCCCAAAAACTCCACAATGTTTTACAGATGTGTGTAATGACACATGTATAACACTTACTGTTTTACAGCTTTTAACCAAAAATTTCAAATTTGGAGTCATCACTCTATATGACATGTTGCAACTGATTTTCAGTTCAGTTCTTGTGTAATTTGAAATATCTCAGCCTTTTCTCCCTGTTTCCTTCCCTTAAGAATGGCTTCTTGACATCCACCCTTCAAAGATACCATTTCTGATGGTGTTTCAATGAACAGTAGATGACCAGGTTGAAGGGCCAGATGCATTTTTCAGGTTTTGTGGCAGCTCCTCCAGGTCCTCACCCCTGGACTTTTTTCTTGTTAAGATGCGATCTTCAAATAAGGTTCATTTGTGTCGCAAGTTTTAGTCTTGTCCAGTTTTCCCTAAAAGTTTTAAAGACATACTACACAATATGGTGAGATATGGTATATGGTATATGGTATATGATATCTCTTTTAGAATCACTTTGTTGGTGCAAAAACAAAATTTTATGCCTGTTAAAAGATGTTGTCTTCAACTAAAGCAAATGGGGACAAATAAAGCATTGTTGTGTAGACACAACACTGATTGAAGTTCCTTTTTTTAATGCTTCAGTGATTCATTGAAGTCAAGTGGCTCAACAAACTTGTCAGAAATGCTCTGAAAATGGTCAGATACAAAGACTGGGCTAAAAATGAGTGGAAAAACATCAACATGTCGGAAAAAAAAGGAGAAAAAAACTTTTAAAGAGCTGAAGAAGGACTATATAACTATTGCTTAAAAATACTTGAACAAACAAACAAACTATGAACAAACCAAACAAATCAGAATGAGAAAAAATATGATCTGAGTAACTTTGAACATGGTTATAGTGTTTCGGAAACTGCTAATCTGTTGGGATTTTGTCACAAAATCATCTCTAGCATTTACAAAGAATGGTCAGAAAACGAGAAGAGATCCAGTGAGACATCAACCGCGCATTTTTTGTATGTGAAAATGTATTTTTTGATGGCAGGGGTCAGAGGAGAATGTCAGACCTGCTTTGAACTGACAGGAACAATTCGTTACAACCAAAGTAGGCATAAGAGCAACTTGAACGCATAACATATCAAACGTGTCAAGGTTCCACTTCTGTCAGTGAAGAACAGGAAACTGAGTCTAGAGTTTACAAAGACTGAAGATGGGGAAAAAATGCTGTCTGGTCTGATGAGTCTGCTGGTAGCTAGAATCTGGCATAAACAACATGAAAATATGGGTTTATCCTACCTTGTATCAACGGTTTACACTGCTGGAGGTGCGATGATGCAGGAGAGATTTTCTTGGGACAGTTTGGCCCCTTTACTACCAAATAAACATAATTTAAATGTTGTAGCCTACCTGAGTATTGCTGCTGAACATGTCCATACCTTCATGACCACAATGTGACCATCTTGTGATAGCTGCTTCTAACAGGATAGCGCCATCATGTCAGTATGGACCAAAATTTCTGATGAATGTTTCCAGCACCTTGTTGAATCTACAGGAAGAATCAAGGCAGTTATGAAGGCAGAGAGGAGGGCCAACCCAGAATGAGCAAAATGCATCTAATAGAGTTGCCAGTGAGTTTATCTTACTACTTTGCATTCGAATGACTGCACAATACCAATACATAAAATGTATATTGGAGGGCAGAGTGCTGCCTTTTTATTGTCAATACTAATTAAGGACAAAAACATAAAACAATGTGGGGTTTTTTGTTTTGTTTTTCTGCTTTTTGCTGTGTTTACTGAGACACTTTTACCGTCTCAGGCTTCTAAATCTGGTAAAATGTCACAATCTAAGGCTCCTCTTCTGATGAATCACAAACTTACGCAACCACGGAGTTCTTTAGACTAGCATACGTCAAAATGGTCGTGAATGAATGCCTCTAGGGGTTTGAGGGACTTTCTCACGTATGGGAAGCACGTCATCTTTCATGTTTCCCAGCATGATACAACCTGCTGGTTTAGATATGAAAAGGTAGCCTTCTAGTTAAACTTGGACTTATGGCGCCAGTGTGATGGCGTGATGCAAGAAAACTCAAGATGAGGAGTTCACAGGAGCGTTCCGCTTATGTTTGAGATGAAATACTTTTATCCCACCTAGGTTAAGCTGCTGAGCAGACTTCTTTCTCTTTTTTCTTTTTTCTTTTTTTTGCAGTCATCTTTTTCATAGAAGAGACCTGCCGTCATTGTCTGTGATAAAAAAAACAACAAAGATAGGCAAAAAAAACTGTCTAGCTTAGAGAGAAATTTACTCAGCTGAAGACGAAGGGGAAGTGTTATGCATACGCATGTCCCTTACAGAACAGGAATAGGAAGTATGAAGAAGACAGGAAAAAACACAAATCCACTTCTCAAAGCAAAAGAACTGCTGCAAGTGTAAACCACACATGTTTGTTCACTTTCTATTTAGGCTGCGTGTGCAGGTGTTTCTGAAGGTGGCTGCATGCTGCTCTTCTGCAGAAAGGGAGTTTTGAAGCTCTGCTGGTTTGAAAGATGAGTGACACACTGGAGAGGACTACAGACTGTCCTTTGCCGCTTCTCACTGAGGAGTCCAACGTGAACGAGGAGAAAGGGAATGTAACAGGACCAAGTGAGTTACGTTGGGAAGATGGAGGTCTGCCCATGGAGCTCCAGAAAGGGATGGAAACCCTACGAGTGAACAGAGAATTGACTGATGTGACACTGCGCGTTCAGGGTCATGACTTCGCTTGCCATAGAGCGATTCTGGCGGCTGCAAGTCACTACTTCAGGTAAATCATCATCTGGTCTTAACTGTGTCGTGATCTCGGGCCTACTTGTTTTACTCACAAATTATGGCCGGTCTCTACAGGGCAATGTTTTGCAGCGGTCTCAAGGAGAGTCATGAGGAACGTGTGGAAATGAAAGGTTTGGACAGCGGGACGATGCACTGTCTCTTGGAGTATACCTACACCAGCCGAGCTCTCCTCACACACTCGAATGTCCAGAGAATACTCGAGGCTGCCAGTCAGTTTCAGGTAAAGCAGCTTAACTGATCTTTGTTGCTCAATCAGGGTTTTTGTTTTGCAAAATCATTGTCTGGTGCCAGGTCATTGACATTTTTAACACCAATGTAAAGATGTAGTGAAATCAAACAGCGGAGGCAAAAAAGTTCTACAAATCGAGGTGTGAATTTAGACTTTAAAGACCAAGTGAACCATTTTTTACAAAGACATTTGAGCTTAACATGTTTTTCACATAAAGGCAGCACAGCTTGAATTTAAGTCCATAAAATAAATCAACCATAAAGTTTATAATTAATCTGACTGAAAGTTGTTTTAGTCGAGTTTAACTTGAAAAAGGCTTTTGGCAGCAAACGATCTCTTTCAATGAATTTTTAAACCATCAACACCATCGGTTCATGCAAACTTTTTTATATCTCTTACATTTTAACCACCTGCATGTAAAGTCCGTTGGAACAAATAGGCCATCAAAGGAATGAAGACGCCTCGTGCTGAGTTAGCAGCAGAAAGCAAACCATTTATTTCTAATCGGGATGATGGATTTGGTGTTGTGATGTGGAACTGTAATTACATTTTTGAAACTGCTATCAGCTTCTTACTTCAGTTTTTTCCTTGTGTAAAGGGAACAAACACATGATTGAATGAGAAATTGGTTTTGCTAAGAGGGAAGTGAAAGT